GCCGTCACGGAATTGGGATTGGAATTACTAACGACTCGTTTCAGCTGTTCAGAGTCGAGTCTTTATTTTGGGAGACAATAACTTTATTTATCGTGCACTTTCAGCTTTACAACTTTGCAGATCCTTTACATTCACATACAGCTACATTACACACTGCATGAAAGGCAATATTGGAAATGGCATAATAGGGGCACTTTAAACTCTTTTGGTATTAAAGAGACCATCTGAAAAATATAAAGAGCAGCATATGATGTAGAACTCTTACATTTCAAAATCTTTTTTTATTAAACTCTTTAAAAGATGACAACTGCAACTCTTCTCTTTAACGTACATGTTTGTGAATTTATTCAGTTTATTCGGCAATGTTGCTGTTTCATTAATATCCCTTTTTTCTTTGCTATGTTCATTTTGATTGTACTTATTTGTTGTATGCAAATGGAAATTATGGAGAATTCATTGGTCTTCTTATTTCTGTCGTCAAGTTTGTTTCCCTTGTTCAGCTAATTCTCAAATAAAGCATATAGAAAGAAAAAAAAAACTCTTGCACCAAACCTCTTGACTAACTTAACCAGCAAAAACCTTGGTCAACCAGCTTCTCCAGAAAGATCACCCACAAACCAGTCTGAAGCTGAACCAGCATGGGAAGAAACCTGGACCAGCTGGTTTAAGACATTCCTTGTTGCATTACGTTAGTTAATATGTCAAAAGTGGCCTGTTGATGTGTTGGAAATATTCACTGATTAATATCAATTCTCTTTATTGGGCACTTTAAAATTTCTGTCTCTTATTTCATCTGCGGCAGCAACTGAGCAATGAGTTATTTGTTGCTATGAACACATTTGAATTCAATAAATAAGAGATACAAAGAACAGCAGTGTGTTTGTACAGCTAATTGATCACAGGATGATGTTAATTTCTACACTGATTTAATTAGGATATTGAAAAGTTGCAATGGAATAATAGCATCCAATATCTCTCTTATTTTAATCCATTTATTATCTAGATCCACTCACATAAAGACATGGATACAAACCGAATTATTTTCCCAGGCTAAACTCTGTTCGGCAGTCATCAGCGTGTGCTAATTTTATCACCAGCTGACTCTTAAGAAACTAATGCTAAACTCTGCTGTGATGTTGCAAATGGGAATGTAATGTCGCCATAGTAACACATTCACTTCTTTTTCAGGTACATGTGAAACTAGCCAACGTGACGATAAACAACTTGCACTGACTTCTAAAAGATTGTTTTAAAAACAGTAGCAGTTCAGAACCGCACTGGCTGAACACTTAAGAAAGAAAGCCAGTGAAATGTTAAAGACTGTTAAAGGGGTCATATGATGTGATTTCAAGTTTTCCTTTCTCTCTGAAGTGTTACAAGCTCTTGGTGCATGAAGAAGATCTGTAAAGTTGCAACAACTAAAGTCTCAAATCCAAAGAGATATTCTTTATAAAATGAATGACTCATTCTAACACGCCCCCACATGTCTACGTCACTATGTGGAAATATTAGCATAATGCCGCCGAAGTGTGAACGCAATGAAAGAAGGCGTGGTTTCAGGAACAACAGTAGTGTTGATGCAGCCATGTCAGGGAGACGCTGCGTGCTTCAGTGCGAAAGCAAAAGCACTTTATTTGGCCTTCCGGAAGTAGATGCAATTAGGAATCATTGGTTAAGATTTATTTACAACAGAACAGCACAACCCAGATGTTCGAATTTGTGCAACGCATTTTATGGACGACAGTTTTTTGAACCTAGAAGAGTACAAGGCTGGCTGTGCACAAAGGCTATTTCTAAAAAAAAAAAGGGTCAATTCCGACTTTGCTATGACAATCTGGCGCTTCTGAATCAGCGACTGTAAGTATATTTTGTTATTAGTTTAAGTATTTGCTATTGACTGTTCAAATGCGGAGTTTTGCGCAGCGCAGAGTAACGCGTCGTGTGTGTGTGTGTGTGAGGGGAACAGGGTCACATCACAGGAGAGTGAACTGCCTGTCAGAAATCA